CCCCCCCCCCCCCCCCCGCACACTTATAAGGAACAGAAGAGTGGGGAGACATGGCAGTCACCTCAAATATCTGAACAGCTGTCACAGAAGAAGGGGCAGAATTGGTCAGAACTCTTCCTGAAGACAGGACAAGAAACAATGCATTTAAATTACAGGAAGAAGCTTTGGGTTGATGTTAGGAAGAATTCCTAATGATATGAGCTGTTCCACAGTGGTACAGACTCCCTTGGGAAGTGGTGGACTCTCTTTTGTTGGAGGTATTTAAACAAAGACTCGGTGTCCATCAATCAGGGAGGCTGTAGTGGATTCCCGCATTGAGCAAGGGGTTGGACTAGATGAGCTCTAAGGTTTCTTCCAAGTCTTGTGTTATTTTATAGCTATTTTTTTAAAAGGCCACAAATCTCACTTGATTCTTTCTTGACATTAGGTCACTGTTCTATTTCCTCTGGCTCTCGACAAGCCCAAAACCAGAAAAAGTATCACTGATATGCAAAAAGATTCCCTGCGCTGTCTTCCCAAATCAGATAGTCTTACCTCTTAATTTATTTTATTTTATATTTTATTTATCATGTTTATGTAGCTATCTATCTCACTTAATGACTCCATTCATACAACATAGTGAGCCAGAAATTTCACAAAAGCTTCAGCCTTTAAAGTTTGATTATCTGAAAAGTTGCAACCAGATTCCTGATTTTTGGCTACCAAAGACTAATATAGCTGTCCTCCTACAGTGTCTAAGATGGTGAAGGAGTTGGAAACAACATCCTATGAGGAAGTGGAAAGAAACTGGGCAATTTTATCCTGTGGAAGAGACTGCTGAGAGGAGATGAGTCTTCATATATGTAAAGGATTGTGCTATGGAGGAACAGAACTAATTCTCTGTTGCAGTGGAAGGTAGGACTAGAACCAGTGAGGTGAAACTACAGGGAAATAGATTAAGGTTAGGCATGAGGAATTCCTGGTGGTGAGCTCTCCACCAGTGGTGCAGGAACCAGATGAAGTGGTGGGTTCTTTGCTGGGGGACTTCCAATATCTGTCAGAGATGTTCCAATAGTTTTACACTAATGATGACCTTTCAGGTGTCTTCTGACTAGTAACAAGCTGCTTCACAATAAGGAACTGTGACAAGGATATAGCTTGTGAACTTTGTGTCAATGGGTTATCCCAACTGGAGGCTGTAGATTAAGGCTTGGCAGGACTGCTGCTAAGCCACTGCTGGAGATCCCATAGACAGCTTCCTGGGAAGATCATACCAGAAGCACCAGTGGAGCCTGGTGGGAAGATCTAATGGTCCTAGGACTCACAAGTGGGTTAATTGGAAGGCTTCTTGTAGAGAATCAGGAAGGTGACCTTGAAGCAAATATTCAGAAACTGTTATGTAAGCAAAGAGGACAGAAACCTTCCTTACATCTTGGGAAAGGTGACAGTACAGGTAGTACACTTACCAACTACAACTGGGACCAACAACTCTGTCGCTAAGCGACGCAGTCGTAAAGTGAAATGTGTGATTGAGCCTGATTTACAACATCAGTTTGTCAGTTCCAGCTGCAGTTGTTGAGTGTGATGTCACATGACCATGTCTTATGACTTCCTGCCAGTATCCCCATTGCCTTGTCTGTTGTCGGAAGCTGGCTGTGAAGATCGCAAATATCGATCATGTGACTGCAGGGTGCTGCGATTGCCATAAATGCACACCAGTTGCCAAGTGTGACTGAGGGGACACTGCAACAACCATAACTTTGAGGACTGGTTGTAAGTCTCCTTTTTCAGTGCTGTCGTAACTTCAAACGGTTGCTGAACAAGTGGTTGGTAAGCAAGGACTACCTGTATTAAGAGATTCAGGATGACTCCTGATTCACTAGGTGTAAGAGGGAGGAGAGGAGAAACACAATCAGACTTGCAAGATTCTGTTATAGGTAGTCCTCAACTTACAACGGCAATTCAGACTGGAATTTCCATCACTAAGTCATAAACTGCAACTGCATTGCTTAGCAACGGCAATCCCTGCAGTCCCGTTGCCGTCATTAACTAAATCCCACGGTCGTTAGGCAAGCCAACTTCCTGACGGCTTCCCGCAACCACAGTCAGTGGGGAAGCTGGCAGGAAGTTGCAAGTCCCAGGCCAGCAGGCAGGTAGGTGGGTGCTGCTGGGTGGGGGGGGGAGCAAAGGGGTGGGGGGAGGGTCAGGAAGGGTGCAAGGGGATACGCAAGAGGTACGTGTCAGGGAGGGGGTGTGCAAGAGGCGTGGGTTGGGGAGGGGGTGCAAGGGTGGCTGGCGTGGTGTGAGCATGGTCTGAGGGAGAGTGTGCAGGTGGGGGAGACTTACTCCAATGACTTGCGACCTTTCCTGCCAGCTTCTCCATTGACTTTCTGGGGAAGCCAGCAGGAACGGTTGCAAATGGCAATCACATGATCACAAGGTGTTACAATCGTCATAAGGGCAACCTGGTTGCCAAGCACCCAGATCACAATCACGTGACCATGGGGGTACTGGGACAGCCAGAACTCTGAGGACCGGTTGTAACCACCATTTGTTCAGTGCCATTGTAACATTGAATAGTTGCTGAACAAATGGTTGTAGGTTGATGACTACCTATATTATAGCCCATCTCATTAAAAGGAATTTTAGTTTCTCATGGAGTGTATTTCCTGATTTGGTCCACCTCGAAGGGCTGACAATTCTAGCTTGGGTTCCGCAGTGAGTGATGGAGAATCCAACAACTCAGGCATGGGGAGCAACCATGCCATTTAACAGCCCCCTTGCAGCACAACTCTGGGGCCAACAGACTCCCAGTGAAAGAAGGTGGATCCCACCACATTTTGAACTAGTGTGCCTTTGGGGAAACTCCTGCTGTCTCAGCTGGCTGGAACCAGAGACATTCCCTCCACTTTGTTTGGGAGATCTGTGAGATTGCCAGTGGGCTTGGGAGCAGAGTTGAATTGGAAAGATGAAACAGGCCCTTATTTACAACAAGAGAGCAAGTGTGAAAGGGCGTAGTGGC